TGGGGGCTTTGGGTTGAGTTTTCCTTTTATTGTCGGAGAAGAAGTCGACTACTTCTTGTTAAGGTGGTGATGAATAGTTAGTCGTAAAGAGTTTTCTTAATTGAAGGATATTGCTATCGGAAGAAGAAGAACGTAAAAGCTTAGATTTAGAACGAGAGAGAGAGGAAGGTCGAGTAAAAGTGATAATGAATAGTACTTAGCGAAGGAGAAGAGATTGAGGCACTATGGTGGTTTCTAAAGGGATGTGTAGGTGAGGGAGAGGAGATGGAGTTTGTGGGATGAGGTTTTCTTGGTTCAATAGAGAGAGGCGACAAGTTCCTTAAGTTGATGATGATGAATGGTGTTGGGAAGGCTTGGGAGGGTGGCTATGGTTGTTTTTTACTAAGGAAATAGAGGAAAGAAAGGGGTCTGCTATGGAGGAAAGCTTTTGAGTGAGGGAGAGGGAGGAATGGTGTTAGGTGATTTTTTTAAGGTCGTAAGTGAACAATAAAAGGTACTAAAAAAATGCAAAAGTGGGTTTTTGTATAGTTAGATTTTTGGCAAAATTTGTTTTGGTCCTTAGTTCTTACAATCTATTGATTTAAGTCCAATTTAACTCTTTGTTTCAATAAGACCCTTAAATTTCAATTAATTAACACCTTTTTTTTTATTTCTTCCATTTGTTCCCCATCTTTGTTTTAATTAAATGACAAAATTTTTGATTTTTTTCATTAGATCCACAATTGTTCTTTTTTTATTTTATTTATTTCCAAACTTTCTCCTTTTTTTAAAAAAAAAAAATTACCCCTTCCTTGAACTAATCTAAACTAACTATCCTAATTGATTTTTTCTCTTTTTCTTTTCCTTTTCTCTTTTTTTTTCATATTTTTTTCAATAAAAATAATAAGAGCAAAATTTAAGCATTAATCACATTGAAAGAAGACTTAATCTCTACAATTTTACCGAGTTGATGCTTACTTGTTGAGAGAGTTTTTAAATTTAAGTAGGATCTTGAAGGAAAGAAGGTTAAGCTTGTTGCTATCAAGCTTACAAATAATGCTTCCATGTGGTAAGAGAACTTGAAGAGACAATGACTTTAAGAAGGTAAGTAAAAAATCACTATTTGGGATAAGATGAAAAAAGCCTTCAATCTTTAGTACCTTTTTGACTTCCATAATAAAAAAACTTATCTAAATTTCATATTTTTAAGTAAGGAGCCTTAAGATTTAAGGCATATCTTTCAAAATTTGAGCAACTCATGTTTAAGTATGAAATTTATAAACTAGAAGAACAAATCATTGCTCAATTTTTGAAAGGTTTATGAACCAAAATTGCTAATGTAATTCAATGTATTAATACCATACTTTAAATGATGTTATAAAGAAATTACTAAAGGTTAAAAGACATCACAATGCTCCTACATAGAGTGGTGGTAAAGTCCTGGATAGGAAAGTGCAATCTAGCTTTACTATTTCGGTTAGAATCTCAAAACCAACCCAAAAAAGGTAATGGTCAAATGGAGACAATGAAATTATGAATGATATGCATAAAAAAAACACATCGCATTCAAACATTAATGCTAAAAGTTGTTTCGAATGGCATGGCCTTAGACACATTGCTTTCGATTGTTCAAATTAATGAGTGATTAGCTTGGTGAATGAAGCCAAGGAAGAAAAAGGTTTTACTTGATTTAGTTGAAGAAGGAATATCCGAGAATGATTATAAATCGGTAAAGATCTATAGAGCTTTTTAATAACCAAAAAGTTAAAGGAGGATGAATGACTTAGACATATCTTTCATACATGATGTGCTTTGCATGGAAAGGTGTGTAACTTATTTATTAACAAAAAGAGTTGTGAAAGCATCATATATTTGATGATGGTGGAGTAACTCAACTTAACCATAACTAATCCATACGATATAACTTGGTTAAGAAAAAGGCAAGTACAACAAAGTGGCAAGGAGATGTCTTATGCAATTTTTGATAGGTCAAAAGTATAAAGACAAAGTATGGTATGAGATAATTCTAATCGATGTGTCTCATAATTTGTTAGGAAGACCATGGTAATATGATCGATGAGTGGTGTAGGCTATATTCAAAAACACTTATTCAAATTTCAGAAAAAGGAGGTAGTTTAAATGCCTCCGAAAAAAGAACCAACTACTATAAATAGTCGGAGAGAAATGGTTTGTGAATCAATGTTCCTTAGAGCATTGGAAGACTATGATGAAGTCAAGGAAAAGGTTAAAGAGTTTAACCTTGTGGGTATCAAAAACACTCAAAATTTCTACTTAAAGATTGACAACATTGCTAACCTTGACATTGTTATTAACGGTAATGGTAAGGATGACAAGTTTGAAGTTATTGCCACCAATGAAGACATAATAGAGAATGATGTTCATCGGAGTCTTAAAGTCAAATTTCAGCAAGGTAATGGTAAGGAAATATCATAAATTCTTGATGAGAAATTATGCAAAACTTTCGAACACAAAGTTAGTATTCAAACACAAAAGAACTTTGTTTGTAACAATGGGGAAAGGTAAAATGTTTTGGACACTCCACCATCCAAACACATGAAAGAAAAGACAAAAGTATCACATTGTCACCTAAATCATAAGAACTATTGAATGATCCATGGATTTTATAAGGTGATTCATTTAATTCTTATTATATGGAGAAAAAGACATAAGGATCACATAGACACCTAAGGCATTACATGATGATGGCTTTATGTTTGGTAACAATACAAGTGGTGAAATTCTAAACTACATAAGTTAGAATTCACCGCCAATTTATGATGTGTATAATCATAATGATGAAGAGCCTTATACTATTAGTATTACATTAAATGGAAAGGTTAGAATCGGACATCATGATGAAGAGAAGCATGGTGTGATGCTTAAGGTTATAGGTGAAAGAGTTGTCATGAAATATATGAATTATAGGTGTGATGTTACTATCATGAGTTATGAAGGGAATGTAGACAATGATAAAGGCGAGTAAAGGGAGTTTAGGGACTACCATGAGCTAGCAAACAAGTAAGGAAGTTTCTACCATAGAAGACTAATGGAAATTGTATGTTGTTTCCAATAATACCACATAAGAACAAGAAGTAGCTACTATCGTGGATAATCAAACCAAAGGAGGGGTTGATATTGAAACACCAAGGAATGAATTAAAGGCTGCTATCGTGTGGAGGCGAGTAAGTATGGAGATTAAGCTATAATTGCTAGAGTTATCAAAAAGAAGAAAAGTTATAACAATGCCAAAATTTCCCACAAAGAGAGGCCATAGGTTGAAGTAAAAAAATATTTCATCAAGAAAACTTACACGGAAAGAGGTTTAGTGTGGGTGAGTCTAAAAAGAAGATACATGAATATGCTAAACACAATAAAGGTGCCTTTGAAGGTATCAAAACAAATAAGATGAATAAGATGTCTATCTTGATTTAAGTTTAATAAGTTGAAGACTCATTAACATTCAAATTAAATTAAGAAGAAATTGGGTTTAAATTTTTCAAGTCGGCATGGACTAAAAGGGCCAAGAAGTTGATCATAAAGTCAAGAATACAATGGGTCAAAATTTTTGGTCGAGTTTTCTTCAACTCGAGGGCTTGATGTAGAGTGTGGTCCAAACAACCTCACTAGGATTGAAAATCCAAGTTAGTTCAGCCAATGGAATTTTTTTAAAGATTGATCAAAATTTTACTTTGTTTGGATAAGTTTATCCTTAACATATTACTTAATATTATCTTGTAACATTATCCATAACATTATCTTGTATTAGGATAATTATGTTTTTTAGAATTTGATTGTGATAATAAGTCTAACATAATTAGAGCTTTTTAATTAAGTTAAATAAAAGTAGAATTGAAGAGACATAAAGGTAAGTGAGACTAGCATTTTGTAGTACGTGTAGGATAATTTTCTTTACTCATATCCTTATCATGTGTAAGCCTAATTTTATGAGAAATTAGCCTTGTATAACTAGCCCTAGACTAGTATAAATAAGGGCTTAATGCTTAGAGAGAACACTTTCATGCTTGAGAATTAATAAAGTACTTAAGAAATTTCTCTCCAAACTCTTAAATCCTTGTACATTGCTTAGAATTTATTTTCTATATCCTTAACTTGATCAACCAAGGTGGATTCTTTGATCAAAATCTAACTTAAAGGTGTAGTAAGGTTATTAAATCTCACCAAAATCATTTTGGATTAAACCCTAATAGGTTCAAAAAGCTACATAATTCTATATCCTTGACTTGATCAACCAAGGTGGATTCTTTGATCAAAATCTAACCTAAAGGTGTAGTAGGGTTATTAAATCTCACCAAAATCATTTCGGATTAAATCCTAATAGGTTCGAAAATCTACATAATTAGGCCTTTACTTCGGTAGTTTTCTTTATCATACTTGAAATTCAATTTAGATCTAGATTTGATAGAATTTCTACTTAACATTAGGGGATTTTAAAGTTATTGGATTAAGCGGAATTTTGAATAGTGGCTTCATATATTTGGTAATTAGGTTATGTCACATTTTCAAGTCATTCTTGTCCGGTTTACTTGGTAAGCACATATCCTCTTTGTGACGGATCTATTGATTTTTTACTCATGTTGAATTCGAGATCTACTTAGTTTAGCCCTAAATGACAACAGTTGGAACTTTCATATCATCCCTCAATTTCAAGTGGAAAGTCACGAATCAATTGTCCATTAAAGGAATAGAATTTGGGAGCATACAAAATTTAAACTAGGAGTGTTAAGACTTGTTTTAATTCTTTATAAAAACAGTATTAGTGGTTTTTTGAAGGTTGGAAACTCAATCGAATTTTAGTATACTTTACACATGCTTGTGGAATTTCACTTGTCTAATGTTACAGTCTAGACAGTTGCTACCAATGCAATGACTTAGTATGCCTTGAACATGATGCCTTTTGCATTGACTTTAGAGGAGATGATGCTTTCGGCTTGCTTTTTAATTTACCATTGGCGTGGGGTGTTCTGTACTTTCATCGGCCCATGTTCACCGATCGAAGAATAGCGGGGAAACTCACACTTTCCAACAACTGCAAGAGTTTGACCCACTTCTTCTTTACTCAGCATGGAACAACCATTATCTCGAGAACCACTGATTTGGGCTTGGGACCAAAACGAGGGAAGAAGGTTGCTTTGCTTGGTCGAGGATTTATGGGCTCACGGGTGGCAAACAAGCAGCACAAGAATGATGAGCAATCATTTATGGAGTTTTATGCTCAAAGTCAATGTGATGATGGTGGATTAATTGCAATCCAACAGGAGTTACATTTGGATGAAGATGGGCTGAATGGTTTGGACTAGATCATCTTAGTTGGGCTACCACAAGACTGCGGAAACAAAAGCTTAAGCTCAAGGTTGAGTTTTTTCCAACCTGGGAAGTTTGACACAAGATTTTCCTCGAGCAATAGGCTGAGTATTTTTAGTCCATTAGGGCTGAATTATTCAGGCTTATTTATCCTATTTTATTTCTTATTTTGAATTATTTTTATATTCATTTTTTATTGGGTTTTGAACTGTTGGGCTAAATTAATTAAGTCCAATGAGATTTAGAATTTATTTAATGTTAGTTTATTTCTATTAGATTTAAGTTAATAAGTCCACGTGAATTAGGGTGTTTAGGAGAGCAATATTTAAGTTGCTCTTTTGTAAGTTGTCGATAAATTTTGATATTTTGTTACAATTAAAAAGATATATTTTTCTCTTTTGTAAATCATTGTTCATGTATTACATAGAACACGTCTTTATCCATGGCACTGATCCTCCAAGTTGGCATCAATCATTACATTTAAGAATCAAAATGGTATATCCGTATCTTTTAGTCTTGACATACCTATTCTGACTCTCAACCATCTTTACAAGTAGATTTTAATCGACTTATCTTTAAAATGAAACTTGTTAGTAGATTACATTATTTATTGAGGAGTTTCAACTTACTTCTAATTTTCGTTAAGATTAGAATTTCGCTCTTTTATTTTAGGTTTTAGGATGGTGCCGCTAGTAAAGATTTTGGGGTTAAGGTTTTCTAAATCCCTTGAAATTTAGCTAATAATATCTTTTATGTCTAAAGGAATATGGTTAAAATTTTATGAAATTCTAACAAGATTAGCCAATTTTGGCTAAACTCTACTTTCAGGATTTTCAGCCTTTTATGGTTGTTGTGGTTTTGGCTTGTTTGTATTGGTTTCGGCTTTGTTTGGATTGGAAGTTTCGGCTGAAGTTATTTTTTTTGTCTTGGAAAGTTTGGCCTAGAGAGAGTGGGGTTATTTTTGTGTTTGAGTTGAATCTTCACCAAGTTGGGTTTTCATTTTCATTTATATTGCAACCTTCTATTCTTCGTGTTTAATTACTTAAATTGTAAAATTTTTATGATTTAATATTTTTATTTAGATTATATATTAGATTAGTGAATTTAACTTCCATTGTAATTTATATTTTATCTTAATGTATTTGCCTTCGATCTTGCAATCCAACTAGCTTAGGAGGTTTTTTTTTTTTTTTGGCAAGAGGTTTCCAAGTCTATTGTAGTCCGTTTAATTCTTTTAAATTGAGTTTCTTTACAATGTTAAATCCCAAAAACATCATAAGTAGCAGTTGTAGTTTACCATTGCTAAGTTAATTTGGTTTATCTATCTATATGATTAGGAGATTGATCTTACGGAATGCATCCGAATCTTTTTTTTTCTTTTAATAAATTTTTTTAGTTGAGTCAAGAAAAAAAAGTACTAGGAAGAAAACAAAAATCATAAGTGAGAAAAACTAGACATCCAAAATCATTACGGTGCATATATATATGTATATATATTTAAAAAAAGCAATTAGAATGATGTTATATATATATATATAAAGCATTTAATCTAAGAGACACAATTAAATATGAATTTTCTCGTAAAATAACTTACGAAAACGAGTTTACATATTGGTATTAAAAACATATCATATAGTTGAAGAATTGAAATAATATCATTATAACCTCCCAAGATAGAACCCGGTGAGCTGCGAGGTCATTGTTCTAGACTTATGGGACACTACTCCCTCGTAAGAAAACTACAAGGTATGCATTTACTAGGATTATTTATCCTTGTTAGGCTCTCAAATCTTTCTCCGGTAATCTCCTTTTGATAAAGAAATATTCGTAACCCTCATAAAATCCATAATCGTATAAGTATACGTATCGAGATATTTATATTCGTACGTATATATATATAGTATATCGCTTACGTACGTGAAAATCTATAACCGAGTCAACATATGTACTTGGAATATGTGGTAAGTACGTATTTGTTGAGAGTAAGCTGGTGTACGTCAATATTTACAAAAAAAAAAAAAACGTTGGGTAAATTAGTTAGAAAATTTCTTGTATATGGAAAAACAAGCCAATACTTGTTCCGAAATGATAGACAATACTGTTCCGGAAATGATAGACAAAGCACTGGCGACGGACGAGGATTAGAAGGAAATTTCAAAGGAGATACAACGAGAAAAGGCAAACATTGAAGTCCGGAGCTTCTTCCTCCGGGCCATTAAGACGAGCTTCGTCAAGAAACTTCAATCGAGGCGAGTGGTCCGGGAAGTGCATGAGCCGTCAAACCGATACCATATGCCTCGAGGCCATTAAGACGTGCCTCGAGGAGACCAATGTTGGGTAACCAATCTTGATGCAATAAGTGTGGAAGGTTTCACACTAGGGAGTGTCCATTGAATTTGAGAACTTGTTTTATTTGTCACAAGCAAGGGCATATAGCCTCTAGCTCGTCCCCAGTACGGAAACGAGGACCGGGAAAGGTACCTACCCGGTGTATATGATGACTCGAGAGGAGGCTAACCGGAAGGACTCGGTAATGATTTATGGTAATGTCTCACTCCTTGGTTTGGTTACTTATGTTTTGATTGATTCGGTGTGACTTATTCATTCATATCAAAAATATTGGTAGAAAGCCTAGGAATTAAACCCGAAACAACGATAGTAGGATATCCGATAGTAATCCCTTTTGGAGAATATATGGAGTTGACGAGCTTAGTAAAATAGTGTCCAATACGGATTGAGGATTAGAGTTTAGAAGCAGATTTGATAGTACTTGGACCTTCAAGATTTTGATTTGATTATAGGAATGGATTGGCTATCGAAACACGACGTCCATATCTATTATCGGGGTAAGAGAGTAGTTTTTGATCTACTCGGAGGTCGGCGAGTTAGAATTTAGGGTTGATACGAAGGCTCAAGCCATACAAATCATAGTAGCCATAAAACCTCGAAAGATGCTAGGAAAAGGGTATACAAGGTACCTAGCACATGTGGTGGATAGTCGGGTAGAACAAGAGTTAAAGACGGGAGATATAGAGGTTGTACGAGAGTATTTTGACGTGTTCCTAGAAAGTTTGACTACACTACCATTGGAGAGAGAGGTAGAATTTGAGATTGAATTAGAGCCGAGCATGACTCCAATTTCTAAGACTCCCTATAAGATGACCCCGAGTGGAGTTGAAAGAGTTAAAGGTGCAACTACGGGAATTATTGGATAAGGAATTCATATGCCCTAGTTCCTTACCATGAGGAGCTCCGATACTATTCGTGAAGAAGAAGGACGGAAGTATGCGGTTATGTATTGACTATCGAGAATTGAATCGGGTGACAATTAAAAATAGGTACCCGTTGCCTCGGATTAATGACTTATTCAACCAATTGCAAGGTGCGACGGTGTTCTCCAAGATAGATCCGCAATTAAGATATCACCGGTTGAGAGTAAGATCGGAGGATGTGAAGAAGATAACTTTTAGAATAAGATACGACCACTACGAATTCCCAGTAATGCCATTTGGATTGACTAATGCCCTAGTTGCCTTTATGGACTTGATGAATCGAGTCTTTAAAGGATTCTTGGATAAATTTATCATTGTGTTCATCGATGATATTCGGTTTATTCTCGGAGCCGGGAGGAGTATAAGGAACATTTAAGAGCTACTTTACGGATATTAAGGGAGCGATAGCTATACGCTAAATTCAAGAAATACGGATTTTGGTTGGAGAAAGTAGCTTTTCTTGGCCATGTGGTGACAAAATAGGATATAGTAGTAGATCCAAGGAAAGTAGAGGCTATCCAAAAGCGGCCTAACTTGAAGAACGTGACGAAAGTACGAAGTTTCTTAGGGCTAGCTGGTTACTATCGGAGATTTATGGAGGGCTTCTCTAAGATAGCTAGGCCTCTTACTAACTTGATGAAAAGGAATGTCAAGTTTCGGTGGACGGATGTTTGTGAGAAGAGTTTTAAAAAATTAAAGCAAAGGTTAGTCATCGCCCTAGTGCTAACCATTCCGTCTCAAGGTGGAAACTTTGTGGTGTATAGCGACGCTTATAAAAATGGGCTAGGAGCGGTGTTGATGCGGAACGAAAGAGTGGTAGCATATTTATCACGACAATCGAAGGAATATAAATGAAATTATCCGACACATGATTTAGAGTTAGCGGCGGTAGTTTTTACCCTAAAAATTTAGAGACACTACCTATACGGGGAGAAGTGTGAGATATATATGGATCACAAAAGCCTACGATATATCTTTACATAAAAAGAGTTGAACATGAGGCAAAGAAGGTAGTTAGAGCGAGTAAAGGACTATGATCGTATAATCAATTATCACGCGGGAAAAGCCATCGTTGTTGTCGATGCTTTAAGTAGAAAATCGATAGCAACGATGTAATTAATTCAACAGTCGATAGCAAGGGACTTTCAAAAGTTAGAATTGAAGGTAATTCCTGTAAGCCACAAGAATATTTTATCGGCTTTAATAGTCCAGTCGACTCTACGGGAGAGAATCAAGATGGAGCAACGGACGGATGCAAAGTTGATCGAAAGAAAACGAGTATAGAGGTTGGAAAGGAGTCAAATTTTGAGGTGGATGATAAAGACATAATTAAATTTAAGAGAAGGTTGTGTGTTCCCTCGATGGAGGACTTGAAGGAAGAGATACTAAGGGAAGCACATGCAACTCCATACTCGATACACTCGGGAAGCATAAAAATGTATCGGGATTTACAAAAATGTTAATGTTATTGGTGGTTGGAATGAAGAAAGACGTGGCAAATCATGTAGCAAAATGTCGGACTTGTCAACAAGTGAAAGCGGAGCACCAAAGACCATCGAGAACGTTAAAACCGTTGGCAATTCTAGAATGAAAATGGGAGCACGTAAGCTATGGATTTTGTCATGGGATTGCCGAGGTCGGAGAAGGGATCGGATGCTATTTGGGTGATTGTGGACGAGTTGACCAAATCAGCCAATTTTCTTCCGATCAAGACCATCTACAATTTGAACTAGTATGCTCGATTGTACATTGATGAGATCGTAAGACTATATAGGATTCGATCTCAATTGTCTCGATTGAGATCCAAGGTTCACCTCCGTATTTTGAAAGAGTCCGCATAAAGCCATGGGCACGAAGCTAAACTTTAGCACGACTTATCATCCTCAAATTGATGTACAATCGAACTAGTAATTCAAATTTTAGAAGACATGTTGCGAGCATGTGTTCGGATTGGTCCGAAAAATGGAAGAAATATGTACGCTTAGCTAAATTTACGTATAATAATAGCTATCAAGCTTCAATTGGAATGACTCCATATGAAGCTTTGTATGGATGTCGACGTAGATCTCCCGTGCATTGGGATGAGGTCGAAGAAAGAAAGTTGTTGGGACTAGAGTTGGTACGACAAACGGCTGAAGCGAGTGGATAAAATTCGTCAACGACTAAAAATAGCTCAAAGTAGACATAAAAGCTACGTCGATAAGAGACGAAGAGATCTAGAATTCGAAATCGATGACTATATGTTTCTAAGAGTTTTATCGATGAAAGGTGTGCTACGATTCGGAAAGAAAGGGAAGCTCGAGTCCCCGATACATTGGGCCATTTCGGATACTAGATCGAGTAGGCGATAAAGCATATCGCTCGTTGCTACCATCATCCTTAGTGGGTGTGCATAATGTGTTTCATGTTTCTATGCTAAGGAAGTGCGTTGGAGAACCTAGCCAAATCTTGGAGACAGTTATACCGAACCTTACTCCGACTTGACATAAGAAAAGAAACCGAGTCCGGATTTTGGATAGTCAAGTCAAACGGTTGAAGAATAAGGAGATTAGGCTAGTTAAAGTTATGTGGGAGAATCACAATCATGAAGAAATGACGTGGGAGCTGGAGGAAGAGATGAGAAAAAAATACCCGATATTATTCGAATAGGTCAATTTTCGAGGACGAAATTTCTTTTAAAGAGGGGAGAAATGTAACCCTTATAAAATCCGTAATCGTATAAGTGTACGTATTGAGATATTTATATTCGTACATATATATATAGTATATCGGTTATGTACGTGAAAATTTGTAACCGAGTCAACATACGTACTTGGAATATGTGGTAAGTATGTATTTGTTGAGAGTAAGCTGGTGTACGTCAATATTTACAAAAAAAAAAAAACATTGGGTAAATTAGTTAGAAAATTTCTTTTATATGGAATAAGTATAAATTAGAAAAAAAAAGGTGCTAATTGCCAAAATTTTGGGAGGAATTCGAAAATGTAGTTAATTTAATTACCCTAATTTAATCACATTTTGGCCCCTACTTTCTACAAATTTCCATTGACCATCACCTCTTCCTCCTTGAAATTTAAACCCATCATTTCATTAATTTTAGCCACATTTACCTTGCATTTCACCACAAGCTCTTGACATTTGTAATGAGCATTAAATGGATGAGATTAGATGAGATATTTAAGTAAATAAAAAATGGGATAAGGATGCATTTTTGGTGCATTCCGTAGCTTCCTTAAAGCCAAGAAAGAAAGAGTGAAAGAGAGGGGAGAAAGAGAAAAAAAAAGGGAAGGAAGAGAAGGGGAAAAGAAAGGAAAAACAAAAGGAAACTAAAAGGAAGCCAAAGAGATTTTAGGAAAGTTAATCCAATATAAGTAGGTTTCATTTTCTTTTGCTTTGTTTATGCTTTCTATGTTTATTTTATGAGTTGTTTATTCATGTAAAATGTGATTATGGTATTTTGTGATGATTTTAAACACTTGATGTTTGATGATGGATGGTTAAGCATGTGTGATGAGAAATGTGCTTTAAGAGAAGATTTTCAGATTTTAGGGGTGGAAAAACTCAAACTTGGTGTGATTTATTTCGAGATCTTCGAGTGATTTTTAGGAAAAATGCAAAGAATAAAAGTTGTTTATCTATGTCTCTACTATATCTCTTTAAACTTTCGTGACTTGTAGACATATATATATGGAGTTATGACTGAATTGGTATGGATCATTTAAATGGACCACCTACTAGAAAAATATTTCATTCCAAAATTTGTGTGATTTATTTCGGGATCATAGCGTCGTTTTTGGGCAGAACTCAAAGAAGGAAAGTTGTTCATCTATATGTCTACTAGATATATATAAACTTTCGTGATTTTTAGATCTGTATGTAAGGATTTATGACTGATTTGGTACGGATCATTGAATGGACCAGCTACTGGAAAAGATTATTTAGTTCCGAAACTTGTGTGATTTATTTAAGGATTTTAAAATGATTTTTGGAGGAAACTTAAAGAATGAACATTGTTTATCTATATGTCTAATATCTCTTCTTAAAATTGCGTGAGTTTTAGATATATATTTAAGGAGTTATGACTGATTTGATATAGGTTATTTAGGTACACCATTGCTGAAAAATTTTTAACCTAAAATAAATGGGCTTTGATTAATGGTAATGGACTTGGACTTGAGTTAAAATGAGATAGGCTTGGAATTACAAATAAAGTGGACTTAGATTAAAACAAATGGACTTGGGCTTGGATTCAAATAAATGGGCTTGGATTAATGTTAATGAGCTTGGACTTGAGTTAAAATGAGATGAGCTTGGAGTTAAAAATAAAGTGGACTTAGATTAAAACAAATGGACTTGGGCTTGGATTCAAATAAATAGGCTTGGATTAATGTTAATGGGCATGGACTTAAATAAAATAAACTTGGCAATGGACTTAGACTAAAATCAAAAGGCTTGGTTTTAAAGTAGATGGGCTTAGACTAACGAAAATGAGCTTAGGCTAAAATAAGTGGACTTAGATAGAAATAAAAAGGATTTTAAATTTTAAAGAAAATTTATTCTTTCAAAGAGGAAATTAAAAAAAAAAAAAAGAATTGGACCTTCTTTAATTATTAATAAAACTAATGAACAATATTAATGAGCGAAGGTTGTGTTCCTGCTATGAGTACCATGATTGGTATGTGAGCGCCGAGTGAATCCCGAGTGGTAGTCGGACCGTAAGTATGGCTTGAGAAAGAAGTGGCTAGTATCCGAGTTTGGTTGAATGTGATTAAACATGTCATCACGTGCATCATGTGCATTGGGGGTGGAAATAAATTGAGAAAAATAATTGAGTCTTGAATTGACACGGTTTGATAACCGAATTGAGTGGATTGGGTAATAGCAAGGAATCTATAGTGCGAGCTCTATTTATTAACACCGTTAAGCGATGGATAATTTTGCTAATCGTGTGCTATAACGAGGGATAATTCCGTTGCGAGCGATAGGTGATATTAAGATCACCGAGAGAAAGTAATAGAGCGATAGGTGATAACACGATCACCGAGAGATTGAGTGCATGGACTTGCATATACCTAGGGTACCTGGATTAAAATGGATGAAAATATGGAAAACACAATAGCATTGCATATCACGTGCATCACCCTACTTATCGAGCTTTGGCTCATTCTATTATTGTATTTGTGTGTTGTTTAGGCAAGGGTAAAGTTAAGTCGATCGAGAATGCTATCGGTTTTCGCTAAAAGAGGCTCATGTGTCACTCATAAAAATAGAAATCTCTTTTGTGTCATTAAAAAGGAGTACGGGTCTAGGACATAAATTTTTAGGCATTTTGAATATGTTATAAATTATAGAACTATATGTAATAATGTTGTATATTATATCATACGTTTCCCATATTTTAGTTTCGTTGTGTATGATGGAGGAAGTAGAGGACTTAGTCCCAACAGAGTGTGTCGCACCAGTCACGCTTGTTAGGTAATAGGTAAGGGAGCCGCGGGCGTCACATATTTACTTTTAATTTTTTAATTTTTTTTACTTATCATACAAAAGTTCATGTCTGGAAGGAAAGATTTAGCATATTTTGGGATGAAAATTTTTTGTCCAAAGTTGAAATTGCGTACTGTTTTTAGTACGATTCTGCTATTGCAATCCTGCCTAGCAGTTTAATAATAGTGTTAATCTGATGCAAATTGAGTAACGAAAGGAAATATGCAAAGGGAAACATACAAAAGAAAACGTCCAGTCTGTGCTAAGGCCAAATAACATCAATTTACTTCGCTACTCTTATCTCCAAGTACATAAAACATTTATTATCTGGCATCATCGATTCTTAATTGGGAGAAAACTTCAATTTCCAATGAGTTTGAGTGATCCTTTCCTAACATAGGCAAATAATCCCCCTCCATCGACATGCTAAGAGAAGGAAGATTTTGAATATTCGGCAATGCTAACAGGGCTGAAGCATCGGTTGTGCTGTCTTCATGTGGCTCCCTTGCCCTAGCAGTTCGTTGTAGTTGCAATGCATACTCCAAATCCCACAGCACATCTCCCATATGAGGCCTATCTGCACCATATTCTTCCAAGCATCTCTCTGCTGTGCTAACAAATTTTGTTAGAGAATTGGGGTTGATCTCGCTTCTGATAGAAGCATCCACAATCTGTTCAAGTGTTCCTTTGTTCTTGCAGAACATTGCCCACTCAGCTAAATTTACTTGTTCCTGTGGAAGCAAGGTATTGAGAGCAGGTCTTGCACATAGAACCTCAAGAAGAACAACGCCGAACGAGTAGACATCAGATTTTTCTGTCAATTGTTGGGTCCTAAAGTAATCAGGATCAAGATACCCGAAGGTTCCTTTAACAGCTGTGCTGACATGAGTTTGATCTGGAGGACCTAATAACCTTGAAAGCCCAAAGTCAGCAACTTTGGCCACATAGTTCTCATCAAGCAAAATGTTAGTGGACTTGACATCGCGATGTATAAATACCCCAGAAGATCCTCTATGGAGATATTGTAGACCTTTTGCAGCACCGATGCAAATTTCAAGTCTTTGCTTCCAAGCCAACGAAGGCAAAGCTGAATTATACAGGTGATCCCTTAATGTTCCTTTCTCCATGAATTCATAAACCAGTATCATTTCAGAACTTTCATCACAGTACCCAATCAAAGAAACAAGATGGCGATGGCGAATCATAGATAAAACAATTATTTCTGTTTGAAATTCTGGAAGGCCTTGGTGTGACCCTGGCTCACTTCGTTTCACAGCAACTTCAGTGCCATTACTCAGAGTTCCTCTAAAGACTGTCCCAAATCCACCGTTACCAATTCTCTTTTTCATGTCGAAGTTGTTCGTTGCAAACTGTATTTCAGCGAAAGATATCTTCAATCCAAGGTTTAGATTAGGCGTTAAGGAGCCCATGATAGGTCCTTCAGGCGTCTGTCCCGTACTATGAGAGGTCCGTCCTCTGTGTGCTGGCGCCGGTGACCAATCCAAAGTTTCAACAGCTTTTTGTTTCCTGCATCGACGCAAGCATAAAACAAATGCCAAAATGCAGATGAGAATCAAACCTCCGAGAACTGAGCCGACAACAACAAAGATACTAGTCTTCTTGGGCTCACTTCTCCGTGTTAGTTCCCCCATTATCTCCATTATTTCTAGCCCATTTAAAAAGGCAGTTTGATCTTCAGAATCTTGACGTGGGCCAATACTGATATTTATAAGTCCAGAATCATCAGAGTCTACAACAAAATCAAAATAGAAAGCAGCGGCCAACTGGCTAATGCTTCCATATGGATTGATTTGAAGACTGAAGTTGCTATAGATATAGAAATTAAAGCGCAATAAAGCACCAGGTGATGGACTTACAATGTCGCAGAAGTGAACCCGAACAAAGTTTTTGCAATTCTTACTCACATTAAAAGACCAGGTTACGTTGAAGTTATTTGAAGCCCTAGTGCTATTTATATTCACCTCCTTGGCAGTCTGGTAGACCAAATCAGGGGCCACATATTCGCTAGCTCCTTCCACGTAACGAGGCTTACTGGAATAAAATCTGCTGTTCTTGGCAGTGTCTGGACTATAGAGATAACTATCATCTGGAACCCAATATCTCCATAAAGTGTCATTTTCCGGTGTGAGTGTGAGGCCTCCGACATTGATTCTGTGAATTGTCAGTAAAGCCTTTGAGACTATGTCCTTGTAATCGCTATTACTTCCAGCAGGACTTATGTGTTGAGCAACACTAGGAATGAAATTATCAGGGACAAGAAACAGCTCTATGGCATTAACAAATGCTAAAGACGATCGTTGAGGAGTAAAATATATCGGGAATTTACCAACACTGATTCTAATAAAGAATTCCTTTATTAGAGGAGAGTTGGGGTTGTTTGGTACACTAAAGTTATCTAACAGTGAAAATTTAGAAGCCGAAACATCGAAAATAGCTGTGGGGAGATAAGCTGATGAAGAGAAAGCAAAGAAGTGGAGTCGTACCAAATAAGTACCAGCACTGCTGATCACAAACTCATAAAAAGATTTTTGCCTGAAAATTCTTGCTGTTTGATAGAGAGGTGGTGTGGCTGTTGACTTGTCGATATCCTTAACAGGACTACTCTGCCTTGTAAAGGTGACGGAAGCTGAATTCCCAGAAGTCAAGTCCCCAGCGAAGATCCGACCGGAAGTAGTAATATTGGTGTCTGAACCACAGTTGATGAAATACTTGTCTGGAACAGTGTATGCTAAGGAGGGAAGCTTGTGAAGGGATAAGAAGTAAAGGAGAAACAAAAGAGAAGGCAAAGGATATCGGATTTTATGGCTCTGGATCATTTCCATGAAAATGGTGCCTTTCCCTGATTTGCTTATCTTATTTTGAGGATTATCAAGGCTATTTTGATAATTCAGGACAAGAAATAGTTTGGTATAAAAGGATTTCAGGAGGAAAGAGAGGTCAACTTGTGGACTTCAGAGTTGAATTGTCAGCCACACAACTTTCAATAAAGCAGGAAAATTCTAAATAAAAATTTGTGCATTTTGGACAATTATATATGTCTTTGAACTGAATGAGCTGGCTATATGTCTCATTGAAACAGAAGTCATACAAAAAATTTATAAACCTTCCAAAAGAATGTAATGTCCTTTTGCTTTTGGAAAGAATAAGATAAAATACCAGCGGTCCCTCATATTTGTTCCATTTGAGATTGTTAAAGTTTTTACTCAAAATATCTTCACTTCTCTGACCAGCCAATCATGGAATGTATGTGTAGAACAGTATTTCATAATCTCAAACAATTATAGCAAACGCTAGTAAAAAGTGAATTCTAAAAAAAAAAAAAAAGTTAGGTTCCAAAGAAAAATGATAAATATTCCACTAAATCATTGAGAATGTCTAGAAAACTTAAATTTAAATGCTATAATATATATATAGATTAGCATATCAATATTTTCATCCAATACATTATTATGAGTCGGAGGATTGATGGGTGAACTATTTTTTTGCATTATCAATAACATTTATTGCTTTTGCTACATTATCGCAAGCTGCTTTTAAGTATGCTACTCCAATCATCTTTGATTTTCTTGGATCCATGTAACAATACCTTTCGGTTTCTAGATCTTTTCTTCTTATCTAGTAGTGTTGGCCTCCACTTCCTTTTGATGCATCTTAATATCGACATGTAACCATAGGTTGTTGTACTAGAGGATGAGCTAATATTTGAGTAATAATGAGTGGTTTATGACCTAAGTCCGTACATTATCCTCTTCTTATTGTCTCTTCCTCCAACAGACCCTCTTAAACATCTCATTCATGTCGATGTCACGTATTAAAGTACCCTCTATCCCCTAATAAATAACCTCCTCAAATATTTTATTGATGTTATCCAACATAATTGCATAAATATTAATAGTAAATAATGATCTTAATAAGTTATATAAAAGTGGGATACATATGTAATAAGCTTATAAATTACTCATCCTAAGATTTTTTATTCGCCGATTGATGAATATATACTTATCATCAATCTTTTTCTCATGAATCTTCATGAACACCTCATGAGCATCGAGTTCATGACCCAACTCCTTACATTGAAATAAATATACTTACATGTATATTGATGTTGTAATAATTACAAATAGTAGGAAAAAAAGATTTACCATGTGTATTGCATTCTACCTATGTGTTATCAAATCCCTCGAATATCTAGATGGGTAAGTCCCGATGCTACTCGTCTCGCTCAAGCAGTTTCGACCACCTTTTGAGATCGGGCCTAATATTCGGGTTTTTCTCATTCCTTCTTCCATGCATCTCATATCTCTTATGAGTTATACGTTAGTTTAGAGTGTGCCTTCATATGATAAAAGAAGTCAAAATATCGCTTCTATGCCAAACTATGTCATGCTTTCCTAACGCTTTGATCAAACTTCTAGTCCCACATAAAGAATTTCTATAAGAATGTTAAAAATGTTCATTCATACATGTAAATGAGCATTAAGCAATTTAATTGAAATGTACTATCACATAATAAATTAAACTACATGTTGTCTTAAACTCCTCCTAATAGAACTCTTTAGTTTGCTCGGTAATTGACTTCCAAATCATTCTAGATAGGTCGACATGCTCATAGAATATCTTATAAATCCAACAATAGCACATATCCAATGGATACAAGCTATCAAACAAGACAATTAATGGTTAAATAAATGCATTAATATAATAATACAACTTAGTAAATATTAAAAAGATATGCATAATACATACTTTTTACCATAAATGAGAGTAATCAAAATACGAGGATCATGCATAGAACCGTTAGGTGCAAAAGACATACCAAAATTGAAGTCCGGTGATGGGCCACATGTAAGTACCTAACGGTCGTCTTGTTAGGGCACGAGCCCTAATGACAACGAAGGTTCGAAGTACTCGGCACATAGTCCAAACTAAAGTGGTTGGGCTGAGACATGTCAAATGATGATGGGTATGACATGGGGGTTGTGGGAGGGAATGCACCAAGGTTGAAGGGAGAGGACATGCGACATGGAATGAAAGTTAGACTACCCTAACATTTTTGGTCATCGCCATTGTCGATGTCTTAATCATGACCTTCACCATTTGATGCGGACCACTACATGCAAGAACATCCTCTACCACAAGGCATAACCTACACATTATCATGTTAATTAGTTAATCAAATACAATAACCATAAAACACCTATATTACCATAAATAAATTAAAATAAATATATTTTGTGATCAACAAATACTTTCATAATTAAATTAAAACAGGCACACACACACACACACACACACACACACACCACCTTAATAATTTAAATTAAACTGCAGAGGACAATCAAACCTTATTGCTAATCACTATCTCGATCATCATTGTTACACTTTTTTATCTAAGTCTTTCTCTATATCTATTTCAAATTAAATATCATTCTCTTCATTAATTTCATCCCTTTCTAAATCTATTAATGATCTAGTTAGATCAATGAATGATTGACCCTTATCATCATCAAGTTGGATGACATTGCATTATGCTTTCATATTGTTTTTCTAAAATGATTTTATATTTTTTTAGATTGTACTAGATGATTCAAGCACATCCATCACCACCTTCGATTTTACTTTACATGCAACCAACCAATCACGCTTAATACACTTCAAGATAGGATATGTGGCATAATACACTTGATCATCTCGTTTATATTGTTAGGATAAAAGGATCAAATCGGTTTACCATCCTGCGACTATTTACCTCTCATGTCCATATTGATCATGAATCCTTATACCAATGCCATGTGAAGTATCATACCAATTATATTTGAATAATATGATTCTCTTGATTTGTAATCTAGGATACTCAATAGTTTTAATATATCAATCAATTTATCGAAGTAGGTATTTTCCTCAACACTCGTAATTAACTTCTTTTATGCACTCTCCGCTACACATTGTTACTCTGTCTAAACCATGCCTTTTAGTTAAAACTTATACTCGTTCATAATGTATCCGAGATACGACTTTGCTATTTGTAAGGGCCCTTTTACGAGATCTTTAATATAATAGTTGGTGATCGAGTTAGGTTGTACATTACTTATCCGTAAAGTCAAAATCGATTTCTAACTATTAGTATAACATTTTATCATTTTATTTTACTAACAAAAACAATTCAAAATTGATGATACTCATATATCAATGAAACTATGATGCAAAATCATTTTCAAGTCGAGCATCAACCTTGTGCTTTGATATGTTGAGATTACTTTGAAGAAGTTGGCTTACAAAATAGCTATTGAAGGAACAAAGATTTTAAGATTTTTAATGTCTTTATTATATATAATTGATAGTTAATGTAGTTGAGTATTGAAAATTTTATTAATTTTAACACTTACTCGGTGTAAGGTGTCATCTCATCACGAGTTCAATAAAATATATGTATGTGATGTAAGCTTTTCTTTAACTCGTCAACATATGTGATTTTGCTTGGACTAAGAGATTGAATTTTTGGTTTGAATATAGCAAGCATCCCTTCGATGTCATCACTTGATTCTTATGCACACTCAAAATTACCCGGTACTTTTTGATGCCGGATATGCACTTGAGACTCAAAGTAATATGAATAGAACATTGACACTTCTTCTACTAAATATACATTCGATATTAACTCCTCAACTTTCGCTTCGTTCTTTACATTTTTTTTAATTTGTAAAGATACCTACATTATATACATATGTTGTAGAAACTAATGTTTACCTTTCAAGGGTTCAAAATCAATATATTTAGCTTTCAAATGGATACATCTACTAATATTGTACTATTCTAATTATTTTTGTTTCATATGCCAAGTGGAATGAAAGATTTTCCATTGGGTTGAAGAAACTCGATGGAAATATGTGCTCAAGTTTATACAAAATTAAAGATATCTCTATCTCATGACATATCATATATTCAACCATAATGACGAGTAGAAGTCAATTATTTGAAGAATAAGCTCAACTTAGTATGTGCTTGCCAAACATTTCTAGGTAATAGATCATGAAATGCAATAGGTGTTAAGCTCTATATAAAAACATGATAGTCATGAATTTTCATGTTTTCTAATCTAAGCTTGTTCATATCGACACAACTAGCCAAGTTTGACACATATTTGTTGAGAAATATGAGTTGTTTAAGCTATTCAAGCATCCGTAATTTATGTTATTTGTCTAGGTTGTAACATGCTTTAGGGTATTTTCTAGAGTGTTCATCTTTTTTTAATTTTGATGGTCGACAATAAGGTTTTAAGTCTTCTCTGGAGTTGGCATTGTCTTTGGTTTTTTTTTTTTTGACACACTCATAATTATACTAAACACATTGTCAAAAATATATATTTTTTAATATGCATCAAATCAAAATTATGTTGAATTATATTGGAATTGAAATTTAGAAGATCCCAAGCATATATTTCATTTCTTTCGATCACAAACTCTAGATATACTACTATTACACTATTTAGAATTTTTTGTGACTTTTATTAACCTCAAATTTTTATTAATTTAAAATATTTATTCTAGAATGAATTGATAGAGCAATGTTTGTGACAACTATATTTCTTTTAAATGCATTCATGTTCCTCCGAAATGGATTGCTTTCCGACAAAAACTTATGGTAATTGTCAAACCAAGAGGTCTTTCTGTCATTACGAAAGCATCGAAATTTTCATGCAATAAGGAGATGCTATTTTACTTGTAATACTCTAACTAAACAACATTTAATAGGTAGAAAAATCACTAATTGTCTATATGAATGCAGCTTATATTAGAAAATTCTACTTACAATACATATTATA